TCCACTTCCTTTTTTCTGATACTTTCCCTTCTGACAAACTAAACTGTTCAGGATGACATTACTGAATATATTCGATATGTTTGATTTTGACTGTGACGGTGTGCTGTCACGGAATGAATACGGTGCTTTCTCTCTCGCTACGGCCGATACTCCACCAGATGATGAAGTAAGGCTCTGCCATGAATAATGTGGCTATCCAAAACCTTTCATTTTTTTCATGACTGTCAGTTTTCTTTCGATGTTACGTCACTTCACGCTGTATCAGTTTTGCATTTTTGCAGGAATGGGAACTCCTATCAAGTCAATTTGATACCCGTGCTGATGGAATTACTATGGCAGGATTTCTTTTCATGCATGAGGTAGTCTATTCCTTACCAGAAAACAAAAAAACAGTATGACAGATACCGTAATCCATAGAAAGCCATGAAGGTACACCGAAACCCCTCTATAGGTGTCTAAAATCTTGAAGTCTTTGGCGTTAATCAGTACCGTTTTGGGATGCGCCTCGCACGCGACTTCCATACGGAATCGTAGAGGCGTATTGAAGGTATATGTGGCCTAAACAATGACTTGTGGTGACCAGCCGACATACAAGTCAGTGCTTTTATCCTCCCAGACAAGTCTGGTACCAAATAAGCGACTCCGTTGAGATGGAAGGTAGTGTTAGCCTTCGAAGGTATCGAACTGGGATTCGAACCCGTACAATGCGTGTGAATCGGCGCCACCTTTTGCCTTTCCACACGCGCGCCCCGGCATTTGTGTGTCCTTCACACTCCTCTCAATTTAATTTTTTACATTTATGATTTATATTGACTGGTTGAGCTTGATTTGTCCCAACACACAAATGGTTCAAAAACAGGCTGACCTCACAGCTAGGCAAGCGTTACGGTACCTAATGTTTATATAGTTTTTTTTTTGCTTTTTTTTATTTTATAGCGATTTCTTGCAAATGGAAGATTTTCTCATTTTTTGAGTTGATTTACGGTCTTTTGCTCTTTGTGGTCTCTCTATCTTTGGAGCTTCGGTGGAATTTGATGATTTTGACGGACATCTTTTTAGTGTGAGGCATTCTCCGGTGATGATTTAGCGGTGCCGGACATTTGGGAATCACTTTATCGACTTGGATACGATAACAGCCTGCAACTTCATTACGTATGTTGTACTGATAAGACTAATTCCTGGTTATCAGCATGTTTCAAAGAACTTCTCCGACTCTTAGTTCCTTCTTCAGAAGTTCGATAAAAATAATTTCCCTTGAGTTCTGCAAAAACAAACTTCATGACAGCCTTTTCACCAAGTGAAATGGAAGTCTTTTAGAGGCCTGAAGTTGAGATCGACAGGTAGGGATGGCTCACCCGCCTCAGTGAAGAATATGATGACTCACGCAGAGGGTCTAGGTCATTTCTTGGGGTCTAGGTCATGAGGTGCCATCGCCACTGGTGGGCCGGAACTAGGTCAAGGCGCAAGACAACTGAGGTGGTCTTGACGCGAAAATTTTCACCATATTGCCTTTTCCGTTTAGGGCTGGTGATTTCTGTTGATGTACTTTCAGATGGTTTTATTCATTTCATATTTTCAAGAAAAAAAAGTAAGCCAAATGCAAAAAAAAGCGACAGATGTCCCAAGAATCACTTCGCCCACTTCTGTAACACCAGCAAGTTCGGCAATACGGTAAAGGCAATCGTGTCAGGGCCATCTGATGCCATCTCTTGACCTAGTTTCGCCCCGTTGCGGTCCCTGTGGGGCCTCCTTACCCATTCCAACCTGAGGACCCCGGTTAGTTTTTCCGTGTGGACAATATTTACCTTGCAGCTCAGGCGGCAATTCACATCGATGCTTTTGTTCTGAGATTTCGACAATCCCGTATTGAATTACAAACAAACACACATAGAGGAATGTCAATCCGGTCCGGCCGAGATCTTTGATCCAGGTAAAACTCCCACAGAAACCCCTTTCCTTTCAGGCATGTCCATTTTCAATCACAATCGACTGTGAGAATGATGTCACTTGTGATGCTCAGCTGACTGCTGTGACGAGAAACGAACGGGATCAAATCCTTCGTGGTCTTTACTATCGTGGAAGACCTGACGATGCATCTGCTATCACTGCCCATATTTTTACCACTGAATACTTTGGAATGATGATTGTTCGTAATACAAATGGCGATACAAAGGTAAGGACACTCCCTTCAAAGCCAATTAATCACAACTTGATTGGGAACTCTGGTGAAGCGTTTCTTCCCCCATTTAATTACTTGTTCCAGAACGATAAAAAGAAAACCTATCGAGTGGAAATCATTGAAGAAATGAACGTTGAATGGAATTTCTTCCTTGGACGTGATGATATCGACCCGAAAACCTATGGTGACTGGGTAAGTAGCCCTACTCCAAGGCCATTTCCGGCAGCGGTCAAATTGTACCCTGTTCTCAGAAAGCACTCACAGAGGTCAAAGACTGACAGCATTTCACGCTCTTTATGAGTTCCCGAAAAAAAATTGCTGACAAGTACAGTGGCAGTAGTGGCCATAATTCACTTGACCTTGATTTAGCCATACCGTAGCCAACGCCAAAAACAGCTGTCAGGCCCTTTCTGGTGACAAAAACCTGAAATTTAGGTTAGGGTCTGGTGGAAAGGTGTAATATTTCAGAGGATCCAAAGGGAAGGCCTTGATTTGACCATAATAAAGGGCACAGACAGTCGGCAGTTTGGAGGTTGCACATTGCCAATGAGTTTCAGACCTCTTGGCCATGATCATACTAGGGCTCTCCAACTGTTGTAGTTGATTATGTTTGTTGTACTGAAACTCCCTCAAACAGCTTCACAAAAGCCAGAGAAGATGGATGACATGGCCCAACCTTAGAGGAAGACTTTCGGAAGTTTCAAACTCAACAGCAGTCAACCTTTAGACTGAGTCTCAACTAAGTGTATAGTTAACTGCTTGATGACACAATCACCTGGTTGGCTAATTACGATACGAGATCAGGCCTACAACTCTTCACATGATAGGACAACTGGCAATATTCGTTCAGAAGGAACTAGGATCCCTCCCACGCGCTTCACAACTCATAGAAAGCTTCTGCTATTCCTTCCAGTTGAAATAGATGAGCTTCCTACCATTTTTTAATATTTTGGCTTACGTGACGTCAATCCAAAAGCTTCAAGCCAAAGCAACCCTCAAAGGTTCCTTCAATGGTTTCAAGTAATAGCGACAATGAGAACTTTCTGCCCTCATCCATTTCTCTGGTTAAAAATTGTTACTAAATGTAAATGGAGAGTATAAATCCGGTTCTGCTGGGGGTCCATACTTACTGCCAAAGGAAATTTCTCGATTACCAGTCAAGATGACTCAGTAGAAGGAAATGTAGGCAAATTCGTTGCAAAATCCTCTCTTGAACTTGTAATTGCGATTGAAAAACTCTCCATTACTAGCCGAATTCCTTCCCATGGGTGAAATGAACCGGATGGCTAACCTATTCTTAGAGCATAACACTTCGACATACCTACAGACCTTGGAAAGCTGAGGATTACTGCCACTTCCGCCCAAATACTGGAGATATACGCATGATAGGTGGAATGCTAGTAAACTCGTCCACTTGTAAACTTGTCCCTTTTGGACTATGTTGGAACCGGTGACTTTTGAACTTCTCTTTTAAATGGGCTCCGAATGATACAAAAGGTAGCTTCAAACTTGATATTCACCCTAGCCACTGCCCCGGACTACAAATTGGGAACACCCCCTTGATCCCATTAGGCTTGACATGGGCGTAGCAGCTGATAACGGCGATTCGGCGTCTGCAGGAACAAAAGGCTTAACTTACCCCCATTGGAATGCATTCGTAACCTGTTATGAAGGTCAAATGGGTGTTACATTTACACTACAATTCTCAGCAAAGGACAATACCTGGCGTATTCCATTAAAAGTGATAAACGACACGAATTTTTTGATTTATTGCTTTTGAGACCTTGAGTTTATTCACAGAACAATGTGCTTTGGCATTTTTCTACCAGTGCCGGGAGCTTTTCACCATTTGGATCAGTTCCTTTGTCGAGTTCATTTCCCTTTGAGACGGTGGAATGGTAAATTGAGGGGATAGAGATTGTATCTATGCAATGTCGCTTCCAAGTTAGGCTTAAGGCCTGACCCTGGACGAGAGTCGAACTCGTGCCTATGCTTCCCGATCACCATGCTGATCCACTGGACTTCGAGAATTGGGCCTTTTTTCCACTTCATGGCGCAGTTTTTGTTTTCATTGTCTTTTTCTTTATTTCCGTCCTCTCTTCATTACCATAACTAATCAGATTCGCAACTGTGCCCCAGCTGATGCCGGTAGAAGTTTGACACGCTCTTGACTCGGTAGTGTAATGGATAACATTAATCTGCTAAACGATCCGGTGTGAGTTCGATCCCTTCGCGATCTGGGAAGCTTGGCGAAGAACTGACGCCCTTGTAGCGACATAGTTACAAATGTAGCAGAAAAAACTGCTTCTAATGAAGTTAATATACAAATAAGACAAGCAAAGTAAACAAGCAGCAAACATAAACAATAAATAAATAAGCAAAGAAAGGATAATGAATTGATAATATATTTGTCTAGATAGCATGCCAAAAATGTGAAGGTCATTTGTTTTTCTGGTAAAATCCGTCTTGCCCGAAATGCGCCGCCGTCGAGGTTTTACAAGTTAATTGCCCTTAATTTCCCCTAGCAGCCACCCCCGTCTCAGAAGAAGATTTGCAGTGGGGATGGGAGTGGGAAAAAATGATTAATTCGATATTGTACACGGAGAGGAATGTCCCGGGAAAAAACTGTCTTTTAATTACTTTTCACTATCGTTACTACTTTTTATACTTAATCAATCTGTACGATTCCATAACGACGTTGTCGAATAGTGTAGTCTTGACAAAGGTTCCAGCGACTGAAGTGTTTTTTCACCGATCGTTTTTTATCCCCCGTCCCAATCAACCCCGATCTGGATCGATACCATCTTGTTCATTTTCTTTTTCCAGATTGAATTTGCTTAATTTAATTGGAATGAAGTGCCTTTTCAGATTCTGATCTGCTCATATCGATCGACTGGCGATCAACATTTGGCCGAGTTTCACCTGGTGGAAGAACCAGGATCGCCAGGATCTCCGTCTGCCTGAATAACGACTGTAAACGGCTCATTCACTATAATTCATTTTGATTTCCATAAAATAATGGAATGAAATAAAGGAATGATGATGTACGGTATTGGAAAATGGGTGTAGACCTAGCTACAATACAGTATTAGTCAGTACTGGGGGAGATATAAGCAGTAGTAGAGACTCCTGGAGTCACACGAGGCGAAATCATATACCGGTAACAGCGAAGAATCAATCGGACAACAACAACAACGCACACACACACAAATACACAATCGATTAGATCAATAACTATGGCTGATTCTGGCCCATGGTGGATCCCAGGGGTTGGCGCCTGGCCCCGCTTCAGATGTTAGGGCGCAATCACACAACTTCTTTACCAAATGTTGGTGATGGCGATTCTGAAGAGCTTGATTCTCTGATTCCTGAATCGATGGAGGAATTCGACGAACGATTTTTTGTGGTCATATAAGTCGGATCTATTGGACAACATTCGACTGCTTTAGCTGAAGCTACGACGGCTTCGACTACATCATCAGAATGCACCGTTGCCGAAGCGGTGTAATGTGCAAATGAAGGTGCCGTTCTCATCATTTCCGATGGACGTCGTGGCTAAAAGAAGCTCTTCGTTATTCCAACGAAATGGAAACATTCCGTACCAAAAATGTTCTTTGAACATCGAAAAAAACTTACGATTTTCCGATGTCCAAAACGATTACTACTTCGTGGTGGGATAGGAATTCTTAGTACGCTGTTTTGCCTAGAGAAGTACTGTGGCTCGGTTTCACCGATTTTCAACGTTGTCACAGCTGACATAGACGGAGAGAATTCATCATCAAATTGATCCTGTAACTAAAATTTGTTCAGATGGTGATGAATCGGAAAAGGGCATATGACTGCGCTTACCTCTGAGTCATATTCATCTCCAAGACTTGTATGGCTTTGACTTTTCCTTAAACTTTGTTCCTTCAACTTTTTCATTTCAGTAATCTGGTCGCCCAACGTTAGTAACTGCTGTAGGAGTGACATATCATTTTCCATAAGTGATAGCTGAAAAACTGACATTCGGTGAATGAATGGAAAATTAAACATTCCAGTGGGGTACTCCCTCTTGAAATGAGGGAACGGTAACGGAAAAGAGAAAACGAAACGCCCGGCGAAGGCTCGATCGACCGGGAGGGGCCAACGTACCCAATCTCTGGGTTTTTCCGATTTTTTCGAATTTTTTATGGATTCAATATAGTTTAACAAAAATTTAACGAAGTCAATTTGATTTTTTCAGAGTCAACCTCCAAAAATCAATATCAAAAATCAATTAATCGATTCTGACCTTTCTTAACCTCACAGCCCTCCAGTTTTTTACAAGAAGGGCAAAGTTGAATGTAGTCATTGAGTCGACTGCAGTTCCCCAGGTTATTGACATCACCGCTACTAACTGGTAAGTAATAAACCTCTGGAACCCATCCTGTTCGGCGTTTCATTTATGGGAACCCCAAAAGTTAGATAAGGGTAAATGAGTCCCGCAAACAGGTACCATCGAACTTTCCCGGACTCCTGGTCTTACAGTATTCCGCCAGTTGCAGAAAATCCTACCATCAACACTGAAGTCTTTTAGGACTCATCTTCTGCCGACAGCTGCATGAATTTAATGAACCGCATGACTAAGCGGTTACCATATCCTAGCATACGGTAGTTGTTTCTTTCAAGAACGCTTCCATTCTGGTCCCCCTCCCTTTCTTCCGGGGAAGGTTTCGTATGTGCTTCATCTTTCCTTTGAGACTTTTATGTAGGAATTTCTCATTCTGACAGTTTCAATCAAAAAAGTAGTGTTTACATTTTCAATGGGTAAACAAATAAATAACTGTTGACACTTTGTCGTTTGTATGTATACATAGACCAACGTATCGATCCAGTGAGTGCCAAAGTGTTCCCGAGTATCACTCTGAGATACCTGGGGTACCTTTCAACATGGGAGATAACCCTAACGTTCTGTCAAGGGGAGTATACCTCAGTGACCGGTTCCAGCTAGTTTCCCTGCATACCTCCCCGTTCACTGTCATTGCACTGAGGCCAGTCTATTTAATGGCGAATCCGTAAGTGAGAGTTCACGTTTCCCAAGCAAAAGTCTAGCCTGGTCAAGAACCAGACTCCATTGCCGGAGAAAAAAACACCTTACGACCCTTGACATCATAAGCCGGCACAGCGTGACAAATGGATTATTTTGAAATCGTAGGACAACTTAAGAATGCCGAGAAGATGGCATCACGACGTCCCCGAACAAGTGATTACCCAGCTGATAAGCCAAATTATTCGAGGCTANACCAGACTCCATTGCCGGAGAAAAAAACACCTTACGACCCTTGACATCATAAGCCGGCACAGCGTGACAAATGGATTATTTTAAAATCATGGACAACTTAGGAATGCCGAGAAGATGGCATCACGACGTCCCCGAACAAGTGATTACCCAGCTGATAAGCCAAATTATTCGAGGCTATCACTGCGTCCATTCGTAAACAACATAAAAAGCTCAGCTTTGACCAGAATAGCCGTTTTTATGGCTCATTTGGATAGTCATCCGTGATAAAAACAACGAAATGGACGATCGTACGATTTCGACCCAAATGGGATGGCCGTGGCGTATCCCGGATGAATTGACTGAAGGCCAGTGACCCGTTTCCATAAGTTTTCCGATTTTCCAGAAGGTTTCAGAAAGAACTTATGCACTTCGACCGAGTAGCATAATAGACAGTGCTTTTTCTGGAATTTCAATTACCACGTTCACCGCTCTCTGNCCTCGGAACAACAGCCCCCATGCTGGGAATTACTTTCTCTGCCGTCATCTCATTTTCCCATCTGGGCTGGTTTCACGTTGGCATGTTAACCCCAGATGCCCTTATAATTTGATGCAAGGGTATCATCGATTGAACTGGCCTTCATACGGCACATTCGAGATTCGCGAGAGGATCGCGGTGCGTGGGTATCGAATCGGGTCGTCTATTGAGTAATTGCAGCCAGATGCGGGCCATCTGCCATGGACACTACCGAAATCAAACCGTATAATGAGGCGATAACCCCCTTAGCACCCATAGTTTCTGATCGATCGATACCCCTCCCGATCCGTGGTTCCCAGAGTTAGCTGAGCTGAGCACTGAATGGTCCTTAGTAGTAGACAAATCTTTGGATAAATATTGCGTAGGGACTACGGGTCACCTACCTAGTAGGTCCGACGCCGACTAAACAAACTACCCTAAAAGGAACCGAACAAAATTCGCCGAGGCCCACGCGGAGCTGTGCTTTGTCCAGGTGCATATGAGCAGCTGTTGTGGACACACACACATTGTTTCCACTAACAATCCCTGATCCGTTAGCTACCACAATACAGAAACTGACGGGGGTAATTCGACAACCCGGTCCTATCCCCATACCCCGTTTTCGATAAATCAATTAGCTGCGGTCGCAGTCCGACCTGTCCCTTTGACTCGTCGTCAAAAGCTTGCCATCAACCCGACAAATTGTCCGTCAAACTCCATAAGTCCACAGATTGACGCTGACCCGATCCTAAGGGTGGTCTTGAAGAGCCTGTTGATCCATGCTGAGTATATTGACATGCATGTGGTCATGCAAATAGCTGAGCGATGTCCCAGAAGTTGATGTTAGCGCCTCCTAGCGCAATAGCCGCTCAACACCCGGATGATAAGATATCAGCTGGCTGATGGAAACGTGTTTTTCTTCGACGCCAACGACGATGATGATGATAACGACAACTAAAAGACCCAGCCGCCTCCGACGCCACCGTCGTCGTCGCCGTCGTAGCAGCGCATTTCTCTCACGACGACATACCTTACACAGTGTTGAGGAGTGATTAAAACACTGATTATCATCGACGTGAGCTAGGAAGCGATCGGGGAGAAGAGCGTATGGGATGGCTGGATGGGTGGCTGGTTGGAATGTGACGTAGCAGGGCAGTGAAAGCGACTCATCCAGCAAGTCACTCGGCTGCTACGAACTTGACCCCGTTCAAAGCAGCAGCANTTTCCGTGATTGTAATCGCTCAAAAGGAATGTGGCCGGCCGCCGACTAGCATGTTATGCCCCCCTCTCTTCGACGATCTCCCTGGGATATCAGAAAAACCTTGAACCTTCCCGAGCACCTCATCTGCCATCGTAGAACAATGACCTGTTTATGTATGCACGAGGGCCATGGTGGTGAAGAGACTTGATAGCGCCAGTTGGATCGGCCAGACATCCCATAACCACTCAGCATGACCCCATGGATTCTGCCCTGATACACACTTGAACCGCTACTCCTAACACCTACAGATGGCTATCGAAAGTCGTCCCACGTTCACTTCTGGTCTGCACTCGTCCCCTTATTGGAACATCACATACTCAGGCCCATAAACCTTATCTTAACGTGCCTGGATGCCCCAAGAATTCCCTAGCAGACATGTTTAGAGAATTAGTCATAACATCGTGGCGTCGTTGATATAAGACGAAGAATAAGAATCCCCAAATAAAAAAAGCTGGACAACTCACCATTTTCTCCCGTATCACCTCAAAGGCAGCTGATCCCGAACCGCGAGAGGTGCCGGTGGTAAAAAAGTGCTCAGAAGACGGTGCGTCCTCGGCGCAATACGGTGGAGCAGAAATAGGAATCTGAAGTGGGATGAATGAGTAGAAAGGTGGGGGAAAAGTCACCCAAAAAGGCTCCTACCTCCGAGGCTGAACTCGGATTTTCATCATCAATATTGCAAAAGCTTCGGGCTTTTCTGTAGCGTTCCAGACGCCGTAAACGATTAGCACACATGGCTCGATAGGCATTGAAATCGTCCATGTTGGGAGGGTTTCTGGAACGGTGTGGGTGAATATGTCTTCAGAAGGAATGGCAATGAAAATGACGCGAGATACGACAAAGTACATGAGCACAAGCTACCGTGGCACGGAGCCGCGGAGACACTGAGACTGGCCATATCGGCGCTGGGAACGATAACGAAGCAGACTAGGTGCTGCCCACTGGAATACTCGGTCCAGGCAATACTTGATACGCTACCAATGGGTCAGATAAGCAAAATATAGAGAACGTATTGTCCATGTAGTAAAAAAATGCTCAATGGCTGTTTTGGCATTGGTTAAAGTGCATTCAAGCCATTGCAACGAAATAGCTTATCTATCTGATGCAACTATTTCTGGACATACCAAAATGCCCACTCCTCCACGTCGAAAAAGCATCCCAAAAGCAGTAAAAGGACGAGATCGATAAATTCCAATCAGGTAATGTCAAAAAGCAGCTGAAATCACAGAATGATCACGAAAAACAAATAGTAGAGGTACCTAATATGGACCCGAGCATGTTTAGCGATCATGATTGCGCTCAGTCGACCGGCCGTGGACGGTACCTAATCCGTGGGCCAAGTCCGAGTTCAGCGCAGCATAAGCACATAACGGATCACATATATGGAGCGGTAATACCCTCCTAAAAGAGGGCAGGACAGGGGAAGATAGGGCGGTGAAGGAGGGTTGAAGTTCTTCAGCGGATTCGAGCAGGTTTCGGTCTCCAATACGCGTTCGCAGCGTAATGTCATGGCATGTCACTTGTACGATGGCCCACGATGGCGCCGTCGTTGCCGCCCCTTGCCGAAGCCGCCGCCATCGCCGTAGGGGCGTTTTCCGCT